AAGAACGAAATATCAGACTTGTACAAGTACTTACTTAAGTCAATGCATCGTATTTTTACTTACCTATTATCCTTAAGATGAGAAACAGTTGGAAAACAAAAGATAAAATTAATCAATTTTTTCCTAACATTACTCTTAATTACATCCTTTAATAAAAAAATATAATTTTTACATCATGTATTTTCTATTTCACATTTTTTGACACCCACATTTCGTCGCACATATATAAAAAAAAAAATTTTTCCGCATACTATTCTATACATATATAGCATAACTAGCTTTTTTCTTTTTTGCTCTCTCCATCATCATCATCATCATTATTCTGTCTGTGTATGTGTACGTGTATGTGTGTGTATGTGTAATATCATATTCAATCATTTCATTGTGAAGGTGTTTTTTTATTTTCTTTAATACATCACGTGTATGTTCTTTTTTTCATAGTTATTCCGTCATTATCATTCATATATAAAATAAAAAAAAGTTTTTGTTAAATAAAAAATCTGTAGATATGCCATGAATAAAAAATTTCAAGTGGTGCGATGCACACGTTTTTCACTCAAACGAACAATACATTTCTTTTTTGTTCTCGCTCTACAAAAAAAAAAAAAAATGGTTCTGATTTAAAAAAAAAATACTTCGTCAGTTCTACTCTCTTTTATTTTCTCTTACGTCAGACTTATTCATTTCTTTTCTACTAAAATATATAGAAATCATACGTAGCCTATTTAGTGCTACCATCATCATCATCAGTTATATTCTGTTTTCCATGAACGAAGTTTGTGTAAAAAGATAGATATATATGTCGCATAATCCCGTCTGTTTCACATATATGAAGAAAAAAACCGGTTAGGTTAGAAAAAGAAATAAATTGCGTATTTTTCTTCTCTTTATCGCGCGCGCAAACAGAAAAGGGTGTGTTCTTAGATCCCAAGGAGACAAAGAAAAAAAGAACAAAAAAAAACGAGAGAAATATGACAAGTCCTTGATGAGTATATTAAGAGAAAGCTTCTAGCATTTAGGAAAAAAAAAAAGAAGAAAACTGTTTCTTTTGTATTTCACGCAATAATACTAAAAGCAGCCAGTAGTAGCACTGTGAATAAGGATTTTTTTGACACTCACCTAACACCTTACTATAGACTCTTTTTCCATTAATAATAATTTGAAAAAAATCTTCAGTCACAGAACTATTCAAACTATTAGCTTTAAAATCAAAATGAAATAATGATGCTGAAACTGCAGTTAAAAACACCCTTTAAAAAGGCATCGATTTATCGTCTAACATTTTACTTTTAGTAGAAATAAAAGTTGACGAACGTTACCGACTTTAGATAAAATCCTACTACAAAAACTACTAAAAAAAATCGAGTTTCTTCAATATCACTCAAACACATTTACTGTTTACAGTAAATTCACATTGTTTTCTTGTCAGTTTCTATTTATTTGTTTATGATATCAATGCTATATATTGCAATAGCGAGAGAATAAGAAAGAAAAATTGTTCATGGACAATAGTTCAGCTTGTGCATGGATATTATCATTCAAGAATAAAGATGAAAATGGTTAATATTGAGAAGAAGAATAGAAAAGAACTTCTAGCCTTCAACCGTTGATGACACATGAATATATACAACCCGTTGAATTCATCTATACTATATAAACTGACGTTAGAAATTATGCAGTACAATGTCACTCGTAATAATGTCTGTAACGTTTATCTATATAGACATCTATAATTTGAACAAATAATAGAAGGAAAAACGAAAGAAGTGGACCAAAGAAGGACACAATTTTTCAATATCATTAACGCATATGATAAGTTACAGTTACTGTCACATCGAATGTAATATGAAAAAGAATATTGTATTCCATTTTTTTAATGAGATTTTCACTGTAAAGGATTAACAAATGTTCCATGAAAATAATGCACCGTTTTTCACTTATTTCTTAATAGATTTACTTGTTGGTCAGAGTCCATGGGTGAATTTTTAATTTAGTCGAAAAAATAGATTTGATGAGCTTTCTTTTCTTGTTCTAAGAAGTACATAGCACGAGAAGATCATGTAGAAAAATTCAGTGTATTGAAACGTAGAAATTTATGCTAAAATTGCCGAACAAGAAGACTCGTGTATACAGAAGTACTCTTTAAAAATGACTTTTATCAAGAGGCTAAACTTCAAAAATAAAAGTATTGTCAAAAAATTGAACTATGGAAAAATTCAATTCATTCATGAATGAATTTACTAATCTGTCTTTCTACTATGATCAGATCGGATGCATGATTCTAATTATTTCCATCAAATAATTCATAAACAATTTTTATCTTTACCACTGTTGTACACATTCTGATTATAACAATGGACGAAAAGAAGCAACTTTACAGAACGAAGAAGAAATACAAGTTGCATTACATAGTATTTTGACTAAGTTTAATGCTGGCTTGCATTTACAACTCATCTTAAAAGCTATAGTAGCAGCAGCTGGAGATTTTTTAACTGGTTCAGAATAGTTTTGTTTCTATTTGACGTAGTGAGAAAAACTTGAGTTAATAAAAGTTTTAGAAATACTTGAAAACATTTTCAGAAAAAATTCTAAATTTTGAAAAGATCGTGAAACATCAACGTTGTCAGTCGTTCTTTCTGAATCCCGCTAACCGTATCATCTGTTCCTTTTCAGAAGGTAAAAGAGAAGAATAAAAGATTTTAACTCTGAAACAAAGCTTGTGTATCATGAAGAGAAAATAAGATTGACATATACTTTGACCAATACTTAAAGACACAATCTAAAAACGTCAACTCACCAGAATAGAGAAAAAAAGAAAACTATCAAAATTTGAACAACCGTATAACCTTTCTTCGTCTTTACAAATGTGTAAAGACGAACAATGCGTTCCTGCTGTGGTCTCGCTAAGTAGAAAAATAACGGGATTATTCACGTAAAAATCGGGTATACATCAACAAAAACTTTTTATTTTAACCACTTTGAGTTGTAGGACATCATTATAATTTTCAATATTGGAGCTTTTTCCTCTTGAATTGAAAAGGGTCTTAAAACTACTAGATTGTTACGCTGAAAAATGTGAATATGGCAACAGGCTATAAGTTTTGACTGGGTTTAGATTTTTGTTTTTTCGTAAATGGAAAAAAATACGAAAATAAAATAATTTTTTAATAAATTGTGCGTACTTTTATATCTTCGTTGTTTGTCAGCGAAATTTCTTCAAAATTAAATCAATCGATGGTGAAAAATCTGCTGAGTTAAGTAATATCATTGGATTGTGTTGATGATGTTTATGAGAACCGTTAAATGTGTCTTACTTTATTCAAAATATGTTTCCGAGGATATCATTTTGGGCGATCTATCAATAAAGCCAGACAACCTCCTTAGTTAGTGATAATATCGATGATATTATAACTGGTATGACTAATTCACCTCTGTTTGCCGGCAATGCGAGTGCTATGTCATCATCTGATTTAATGCAAGTGTTCGACAGCGTGTGTTATTAATTATGTATTAACTATCTGTATGATACATTTTTGTTTAGCAACGCAGATAGTCACGTCAGACGTCGCTAATCGGACAGATAGTGAACGACGTAATATTATTGCACAGTGTACACAACAGGTACGAAACCGGTGTAAAAAAAAGCGATTGTCAATAGGAGATGAAGACTCGAAACTAAATACTATTGAACGATTAGGTATTAGACGACGTGGCTATTGTGCTAGTCGTATGCGTATGCTTAGAACAAGACGCCAACAAGAAAATACAATGATTTCATGTAATTTATCACAAGAACCGACACTCTGGCCATCTGTTGTACCCTTGGAAACAAAATTAAATTGTATGAATAAATTTTTTGATAAAATGTCAATGGCATCAGTTCGTCAAGTTCTATGTGCAGCATGTAGTACTCTCCAATACGGTAATAACTGCATGCTTTGACTATATCAAATATTCCAAACAAACATCTCTTAAAACTACATCTAGACCTTTTGAACCTTATACTAGAATTTAACAATCAAAGACCTCAAGGTTGGAGCAAGGTCTTTCAAATCCGGACAAACTTTTATCTTTTATGTACTCTCTTTTTTATTTAGATAATGACATACCGACCTATTATTATACAATAAAGGTTTATTAACATGTGATGAGGCCGAAGAGAAATAAATCGATTATCCCTCATGTAGAATTTACGCAGACTGCTATAAATCTCTATCTAATAATACTATTCCAAAATTTGCAGCGGGCAATAAAACATGACTAGGAGATGTACCACCAGAATTATCAGATTTAACTTTATGCGCACAAAAATTGATTTTCTTATACGGACATAGTCGTGTTTTCGTGAAGCTGCAAGTAATTGTCTTATTGATCATTCTTATTCCATATAATTTTAATGTATGAGATTATCAGGCACAATTTTTGTAGTATAGCCAACTGAAAGATCCCTCTATAGTGCAGAGGAAAATGCGTGGAAATATAATATCTTTTCTCCAGAATGTGGCTAAAATTTCGAGTGTTCTACCAATAAGTATGGGTGGTTTACCTGATTTAATACGTGTAGTGTTCGTTGGATCCATCTTACCAACGACTATAGACGTTAAACGAATATGAGACGGAAGCAAAAGGTTTTAGAGGTATTGATGTAGTTAAAAAAATATAATAATTTATATTCAACCATATCAGTTGATATGAATGTGATAGAAACATTACCAGATGACGATAATCCATAGAATTCTTACAATCTGTTCATTACACAGAAGAGCATACTGATGTTAATTCTGATAGGGCTGACTACGTTCCTGAAAGACATATAGACGAGAATCCATCTGTGACAATTATTAAAAGACCATCTTATTTGGTAGAAGATTAAAAGGAGATACCTTCATCTTACTGTATATGACATATCTTGTACGAACACAACAATTATTTTATACTCTATTAGTTTCTGGAAATGTAGATAGTTGACTTTATTCCTACTGTTAAATGTCGCATCAAAACTTAGGCATACTCACGTAGCTAGGCCTTAATCTGACGTGACATCCTCCTTCCGTATTATCTGGAGTTATGATTGATATATCTACTATTTACCGTTTTGCATAGTATGTTTTAAAACTAAGCCTTTTCCGATCTTCTTTTAGCTCAAACTTATCCATCTTCTTTTACTCATCTGATTCTCGTGACATGCAGGTGTCCTCTTGTACCCGCATGATAGATGTGCAGTTTATTATTCTTTTGTCAGACCGAGAACAAAGTCAAGGGATCGTGTGATGCACTACGTGCTTCATGTTATCTTGTTTGATAACTATTATTAATTTCATATTTATTCTTGTTTAACCTTTCCACTACCAGTTTATTTTTTTCAAAAATTTTATACAGTACTCGTCAAAAGTAGCGGACCCCCTGTAACTGAAGAATCATGATAGCCAGAGACTTTTAATTTTGTGTGGTTATAGCTCTTACCGAATGCTGATCATCTACCAAGTCTGGACCTCTTTTACTAGATGGTTCGTGAGATATACGCAATTTATCCAAAGCAAAACTGATAGTAAAAACGACCGAGGGGCCTTTCGTAAATTGAATGCAGTTCGATGAAAAAACGTCGTGAAGAGTTCGGCGGCATCTGGTTTTGTTCAGAAATGTTTGCTCTACACAAATGCGCTATTTACAAAAAGTTTCCGTGGGAATCAAGAGACTTGATGTTTTGGGGTTTTCTAAAACCTTGGTTTTTCAGAAATCTGGTCTGTAGGAATTTAAATAAAAATTTTCAGATACACCTCATCGGCTTAGAAACTCTTTCAGTTGTTCAAACCTTTTTTCACATTGGTTCTAGCTGATATGGTCGAGGAGAAAAACTAAAGATACAGTTAGACGCTCAATTTTGGCCGCCACTGTAAATCGTCTTTGGATCATCCAGGAAAATTGTTATAACGCAGTTATTAAAAATCGCCAAAAAATGTTTTTGTTCCTTACAAATACATAAAGGAGACGGTTTTGCGGAACTCCTCCCAATAATTTTCAAAGGAAGGAGTGTAACTTTATACTCACAACCTAACCCTATTTCTTCTTCTCTCCACCCTCGGGTAATGATCGTGTGTCCATGGCAATGATCTTAAACGGTGGCTGGTGATGATCTTAAAAGTTCGTGCGATGATCTTAACACGCATGGCGATAATCTTCTTGTCTACTAGTAATGATCTTCAAGCCTCTCGTTTCTGACAATGAAAATTCCAGTTAATAAGGTTACAGGTCCCTGGCAATAATCATTATACTGTCTTAAAGATAGAGCTACAGAACACAAGAAAATGACTTTGTAAAATTAATCCAAATTTTAATGTTATATATTTTATCTTATACAGCAATTTACTGGCTTTTTTTTTCTACATTTAGTAGGCTCGAGATTTTCAAGTCGATATATTTTAACTTACTTGTTGTGTCCGAAATGTAATTGTATTGTCGGAAAGCCTTTTCTGGACCTGTGGATTTTCTCCCCTGTACTGAAAGTGTAAGTATAGAATTCTTTGTTATCTATCTTTTGTTTTGTTTGTGAAAAGATTTTATTTGCTAAAAACGATAACCTTATTTTGTCTTTAGGGCTTGGGTCATTTGATCTCCACGATCTAGGTCCTGCTTCTTCTACCGTTGCTCACTCCACTGAGACGCAGAACACATATCAGAAACTTCAAAAAGAGAAATACCCTCATTTTCGAGCAAGTTCCCCTTAAATTTATACTCCGATTTTTGAGAGATATAGAAAGTGCTTTCAGTTATACTCTGACACTACCTTCTATCCTATAGTCGTTGCGGAGCAGGAAGAACAAACCACAGAAGACTTTTTGGAACACGTATGAGCCAGAAATACCCGTAAACGTACCCTAGAAAACAAAAAGGTGTTTTGAGATACGGAAATTGGTTCTTATTAGTAACAAATGCAGATACCCTGTTTTTAGTTTTGTAGGATTATTTTTTTAGAGTGTGGTTAGATTTACTGACACTTAACTGCCTAAAAACCGTCTATTTTACGTAGATCGTTTCACCGCCGTAAATTGATAGTTCAAACCAGGGCTCGAAACAGGCCGCCAATTTTGAGACCTGGTCTGCCTGCGTCAGGTCTGTAATGTTTAGATCTGCCTGGGCCTGTCGAAATATTTCATGAGCCTTGCCCGCCTGCCTACCATTGCTCTCGGCCTACCCTGGCCTAGTCTGTAGATGTCTGGTAATTTTTTCAATAAACAAAATGTACAAATAATAGTAACATAAGATGGAAAGAAAAGTGACAGATAATTAAACAATATATCTAAGTGAAAAAATTTGGTTTTTGTTCAAGTATTTTCTGAACTGATCTAGCTAATATGATATCCTCAACCGTGTCAGGATTTAGTGATCTATTTCAGTCTAGTACATAGTTTCACACTGTGAAACTCCCATATCATAACGACATCTACAGCCGAAATGCTAGATTATGAATAAAATTTCCTGGGCTAGGCCGCCTGGTGTTTTCATAGGTCTGCCTTAGCCTGGTGCAGGCCGATAATTTGTAGCCTGGCCTGTCTGTAACAGGCAGGCAGACTGCCTGGCCTGTTTCGAGCCCTGGTCGAAAACGTCACTTAACTTCTCCCTTAACTTTTAGCCAATAGAATTGCTTAAAGCTCCTTTAACTTTTGTAGTGTAGACAGGGCCTTAGGCCTCGTCTACACCACAAAAGTTAACGGAGTTTTAATTAATCCTATTGGCTAAAAGTTAGTTTAAGCCAATAGAATTGCTTAAAGCTCCTTTAACTTTTGTAGTGTAGACAAGGCCTTATATTATATCGTTGACGTCAGACGTTGTAAGAAGTTACTTGCCAATAGCAGGTAACTTCACCAGTTTGGTTGTTGAAACCTAGTTGTCAGAAAAAAAAATGTGTAGAGGTCAAATATGGCTGACTAAATAATCAAATATTCTCTCAATCAAGTCTCTTGATAAAATAAAAATAGATTTTGTGAGAAAAGAAAAAAGGTATATATAGGCGGCATCTCGTCGAAAAAACTGATTAATCAATTTATTCAATACGACTCAGTTTTTTTGCTTTTCTTTGAAACTGGGCGGCCATTTTTGCAGGTAACTTCTTTCAACGGATGTCACACTGTCGCGAAAAAATACAGATCAAGCGTAAAATACTACAAATGAAGCATAGGACGACCATACTTGCGAATTCGGACCGCACATGAAGAAGCATAGTGATACTACACGTCATTTGTAGAATTTTACACATCAAGTGTTATTTGGTAGAATACGAAGTATGATTACTTTACACTAGAACATAGAAACACTATGCATGAAGTGCGCCATTCGTACTATTATATATACAACATCGTTGTGATGAATAAATTATATTGTGATGAATTAATAACTCACCTGCTAAAGGAATACTGCTAAGCACGACCCCAGCCTATGTGTGCTAGAGAATTTTAAAAGAAGAAAACAGGAGAAGATGTAAGACATGATGGTAAAATCAGACATATCAGCTTGAACATCCAGATGAACTTCTTATAAGATCTATCAATTCTTGTATGGTCTGCAGTACACTGGTGGATCTAGCCAGCGAGCGTTACAAGCATCCACGCGGACATATGGAGCAAAAACAATGACTTTTGTCCAGCGGAACTGCCTCAGAAAATTGTGTTTCTATGCCGACCGCATGTATCTCACACTTTCTTTACCTATCGCGTCTACCTAACAAAATTTTTGAATCCGCTACTGCAACAGCGATAAACGTACGCTCTTTAAGTTAAGTTCATGATTTTTAGGTCAAAGATATATAAACATCTACATTTTATTGTAAACAAAAAAGAGGTTTAAAAAATCGTTCTCGTAGTCAACTGATTATCCAAAAATACAGTGAATATACAATAAAACTTTCATAGTAGCGCACTAGAAGATCACTCATGCATAGAAGACCAGTATGTACTGCCCAATTATACGTAATCATATCTTATTTCATTATTTTAGTAAGAAAGAAAGACTAGATCGATCACTTGATGGTTGTTGTTTACCATTGTTTGGTTTCAATAGAAGAATCATAAATGAGTCTTAAGATTTAGCTAAACGAGCTTAGATTCAGACTTCAAGTCAGTTTTTTATTCAAACAGTTATCTCGTCGAAAAAAATAAAGAGGGTAATACGGATAATTTTCATACGCTTTTTAGTCTATTTCTGACTATTTATTGTCTCATTGTTTCTAGAGTGACGGGAAAACATTTCTGTAAGTGAAATTAGACAATCTATCGAACTTTATTTATTATTCAATACTGGAATTTAAAACTCTTACATTTCTTTTATTGCGATTTTAAAAGAATGGTAATCGAAGAGATAACAATAATAAATAAAAAATATGGTAATTTTCGAAAACAAATTACAAAGATGTAATACAGCTGTATACTGTTCGTAAACTGAGTATTGTACAACATATACAATATTTTTGATCTAGTATTATATATGATCTATCTGAATATTTAGAGTATGAGATGAAAAATAGAAGTTTCTTGACAATTAATCTGTTTTAGATGTAAATATTCTACAACAAATACTTTCATTATATTTCGCATATGCTGAACTGTTGGATAATCTAAATTTTCTTCATTATCATGAGATGTATGCCAAACACCGGGAAATGGATATGATATCAAATGAAGTATTGGAACACCTGAAATAGCAGCCCATGAACGAAAAACCATTCTCAAGTGATAAATTGATTTTCCTTGAAAGCTACTTGATTATAGATTACCCTATAAAAAAATTCCAGTGCGACACTGGTAAAAATCAGTGCAGCATTGTCAGTGCGCATCGGTGCGCATGGCATGCCATCGGTCACTGTCACTGACTGGCACCGATACGCACCCGTGCCGATATATTTCTGCCGAAAGAGTGCCGCATGGGTGCTGCACTGGCAAAAATCGGTGCCGCACTGATAATTTATTTAATCAATTTAATAGTTCTTTATTATGGTTGTTTATGCTGAATTTTGTATTAGAGTGTGGCACTGATCAGTACCACATCGACATGCCCCATGCAGCATTGTCTCGACACTTCTCTTATGAGAAGGAAAAGATGAAGTCAGAAAGGCATTCGAAATATTAGAGGTAGACTGTACCGTTAATACAGACAGAAATTGACAAAACAAAAATGGTGATTGAAAATAAAACTTCGGCACTGGTGCGAGAGTTTTGCATTCTTTCTGGCATCGATGCGCATCGCTGCCCCGAAAAAAATTATTCGGCACCCGTGCACAACCAGTGCCGATAAAAGATTTTTTTTATGCTGATCACAAATATATTGTCGATTTTGGCTGATGCGACGTTCTTAAGTGTATCTATGAAAAAACGTTCATAGAGGCTCACTCAAAATTCTATGATAAATGAATTATGATCCTCCTCATCGAATGTCTACTGGAAAAATAATTTAAGAGCTACCGAACAAGTTTTCGATAAATCGTAGAAAATTTACTGCAAAAAAAGCTATTAAGTTATACTTACGCGAAAAATTAGACAGTCAATTTTCTATAGTTTATTGAAAACTTGTTCACTAGCCCTTATATTGTTTTTTCCAGTAGAAACTTGACGAACTTTGCAGGCTGGACGGAACAGAATTCGTTCATCATGGAATTTAGAGTGAGTCGCGAGAGACGTTTCTACAGAGATACATTTGAGAAAGTCGCATTAGTCAAAATGGACAACATATTCGTGATCAGCATAAGAAATAACCCATAATTAAGAAAGTTTCAAGAAAAAAATCAATTAATCACTTGAAAATGTTTCCTTAGAAGAAATGATTGTACAAAAATATACCTAATTGTAAAAATGGTACATGATCATCCATGATATAGCTCGGGGTTACACTCGATGTAAATAAAGGCCATGATCTGTCATTGGTCAGTTTCATTAGTTCATAGTCTGAAAATAGACAACAACACTTAACAGTATTTTTTTCTACATTAGTCCGATTCTTACCAATTGTTCTCAGACGGTTATAATAAGATCCGGTTGTTTGTTGAAAATAGTTTTGAAATTGTAAAGTTTCAGCTCCAATTAAATCTAACAGTACCATCATATCCTAGAAATATTTCGTAATAAACATTATCGTTCACTCACACATAATATAATAATCTTACATACAATAGCTTGTAGTTCAGTTAAACTTCTTTGTCCTTGAATAATTGTATTACTCATTCTCATGGCCAAATGTCTGCAAGACAAGTGTTATTTTAACACTGTTAATCTCTTCTTGTTTTTTTCTACCTTGAACCGTATAATGAATCTGTTGATGTCCAATCTCTGATGGCTTCTTCGCCATCGAAAAATATTAATTGTAATGTAATATCATCCGCCTAGAAATGAAACGAATAGCGTATAAATTGAAATAGAGTAGCATCATTAAAAACACTTACTCTTGATTTTAAGTTGTCTAATTGTTGTTTTAAACTAATAGCTATATCTAGTAGAATGGCACAAGATACTGCAGAATCAGTAGCACCAATAAAATTTACTAATTTTTTCGAATCATAATGGCAGGCAAGTACAAGACGACGTTTACGTGTAGGATCTAATGTGGCAATGATGTTGGTAAATTCAACAATACCATCCTAAATAGTAAATCTATCATTTTACAGACAATATCTTTTGACAGAGCAGAGATGTACGTACCGGTGTTGTTGAATAAAATGTATCTAAATCAATATGCCATCCACTTGATCTTAGAATAGATACAATATGCTGACAAAAAAATATTATTAAATTCTTATTCATAGAAATGTTTATATTTTATGCCTACTTGTCTAACTATATAATTTCCATATGTCCCTGATACACGTTCAACCAGTATCGGTGCTAGTAATTTATCACGAAAAGTGGCAAGAGATAACGATGGTGACGAAATAAAACACATAAGTTGTTGTTTATTTAATTCTTTTAACCTATGTTGAGCCTTTGAATAAAAGACGACGTATAGGTATATACTTGTTCATATAAAAAATAGATCTGAATATCCTTCGACCATAAATGAATAAGAACTTTTTTCATAACCGTAGAAAAATTAAATGAAGCACCGGTTAAAAACGAAAAAAAAGCGTTATTTATAGCTTCGGTAAAACTAAAAATGCTGTGATAATAAAAGAATATAATGAAAAAATATAGCAAGCATTTTTTGCAACTCGTAAACAAAAAATAGCTTGAGGATAAAACCGAATAAATCGAACACACTGGTACTGTTAAAAATGAGTTCATTAGAAAAATTAAGCACGTTCAATAAAAACAGTTCTTTTGTCGACAGATTTTTGAGAGAGTAAAGTTAAATGCATGAACTGTTCTCTATACTTTACCTGTACCATTATAACTTTCCCACAACATAAATACATGATTAACAAATAGGCAAATATATGACATATTAATGTCAAATTCATTATCTAAAAAAAAGAAATCTTGGGTTTAAAAAAACTTGGCAAAGCGGAAAGCGGAATTAAATGGCAACCTTGCACTACACTAAACCGCAGGGAAAAATATGAGTGGTGCAGAAAAAGAAGAAAAAATGCATTGTTTATTGGTACAGAAAAAAAGGGAAAAAGGAAGAAGAAATGCATTTTTCTGCACCACCCAAAAAATGTTAATGGAACAACTATGAACGAATAGAATTTTGTATCTATGACTCGATTTTGGTTAGTATTTTTTAAAGCGATGGAATTTATGCCCATTTCTAAAATATTTGACTCTTTTTTATTATCAAGTGTTTGTGAAGATCAATGTTTAGTTGGCATAATGTTCTCGTCTATCTCTCCGTTTATGAATAATAAATCGATCAGTAGGAGCACACTGAGTATTATATACGTGATTTAGAATATAACGAAAGTAATATCAATTCGATGCTTAATTTTCACAAAGTAATGAAAATCTGTCATCTACCAAACGTTTTGATTATTCTTCCTTTTCTACATAGTCTTCTGAAAGATGCTCAAACGGCTGACGTGAATAAGTGAATATGGAGAGATAGACGAGAACATTGTCCGATGTTTAAGAAATTCTCTGTTACTATTTTTTGTACTATTTTTATCTGCCAATACTATTTACTTACGAGGGAACATATGTAACTGACCAATCGTTTTTTTAATGAAATCTAGTGGAGTATAGGTAAAAAAACAGTGCTGAATCCGAATATCGGCATGAGACGGGCCACTAGACCTTGCGAGTACCGGATTTCTGGGAAACCAGGTTTCCAGAGCCAGAAACTTTTTGTTCCAAAACTTTTTTCTGATCTGTCTCGATTGTAGAGCATATCGAGAGACCTATAAAAAACTAGTTTTCAGAATTTTGAAACCCTTCCACAGCCCGCCAGACGGACTTTTCTTCTCTTTTCCGTACGCTGAGGTTTTTTGAGGGAGCAAAAACACTTTAAAAAACCCCAAAACTAGTTTTTTATAGATTTCTCGATGTGCTCTACAATCGAGACAGATCAGAAAAAAGTTTTGGAACAAAAAGTTTCTGACTCTGGAAACCTGATTTCCCAGAAATCCGGTACTCGCAAGGCCTAGCGGCCCGTCTCATGCCGATATTCGGATTCAGCACTGTTTTTTTACCTATACTCCACTAGATTTCATTAAAAAAACGATTGGTCAGTTACATATGTTCCCTCGTTAGTTGATATTTTTGTAGTATGTGCTTACAACAAAATAAATAAAGCGAATATTAGTAATGCGGAAAATGTTCTCGCGTAATTTTCTGGAATTTTTTTATTGTAGAATTTTTATGGACATAAATCAACGGCGTTTTGCGGTCAAAGCCATAGTACTGTCTACTTCTATAATTTTAAAATATGACTTCCTGTTAAATTTTGCTTATTATTTGTTGAATTCCGCCATTTTGAGGTAGATTCGGCTTGCCTTTCTTTATTAGGACACTCAGACAGATATATCTTCGAAAATTATACCAGTGTGTGTCGTGAACTATAAGAATAACTGTTTCTTTTTTTACCACGTCCATTACTTCTGAAGTACTTTCTCGTATTACTTCACTTGTTTCTCACGAAGGACCTTTTCAGGCGTCCAACCGCTTTTCTAATGAAGTGCGGTAGTTGTAGGTAATCGACCATGCTGATTCCGAATATGATAGCCGTTTTTGCCCATAGGCCTTTCCTAACCGGTTTCTAGAAAACTAGTTTTCCAGATACCTCGAAAAAACCCTAAATTCATCTTTACTTCTTCTTTTTGTAGCTCTGGGGTGATAATAAGCATTTAGGGCTTTTCTTGTAAATTCTATAACTTTGCAAAAAAATTAAGTGCGCTATAACCTTGCAAGTGCGCTATTTCAATGATGATTCGTAAAGATTTTGTGTATTTTGAACGCAAGAAGGTAAAGTGTCTAAATGACCAACGTTGACCAACATTGAGATGAAAATTTTCGTCAGTCAAGAAGGGCAAAGTAACTTGACACTATCCAAATTCAACGCATAGGCTCTACTTTCATATTTTAATTAATTTGTAGAAATGTAGCTGAAGCAGTACAAAGTCAAGAGAAACAATAATAACAACGAACATAAAAAAGTACTAATGAAAACGATACCCTATGGGTTTCCGAAATACATAAACTTCATCGTTTATTTTTATTTGGCTGTTCAGAGTACACTAAAATTTGTAAGTCTTCAAGTTTTGTGCAGAACACTTTTCTTTCTCATTTCTGGTTTTTGATGTTTGCCGTGTTTACTTTTACAAACGACTTTATTGTTATCAGCTAATGAAATGGAATGAAAATGTCAGGGAAATAAATAACTAACCGAACAAAGAGATTGACTTTTATTCGTATAAGCAACCGAAGCAACAACAACAGCATTTCGTAATTGAATCGCAACTACATAGCAATGTTCTGTCGCACTTTTCACATCTTCTCTGATTGCACTACAAAATCTAGGAATTTCTTGCTATAGCAGTGTTTCTAATGAGAATTTTAAACAAAGTGATTTTTCACGATATCCCAGGATTTCGCCAGTCCAAATTTCAACAGATTTGCGCAGTATTGTCGAATATACAGAGCAAAGTGGCCAACAATTTCGACAATTGTCGAAAATCGATATGATTTTCTTCGCATTGTCGTATTTATAATAAACTTAGGCAATTGCCGAAAATCCAACAGAATTTCGACAGTAATTTTCAGTTGCACTTGAAGTAAAATTTTTATAACATACACCGGGCATAATAATAAAATAGTACACTGTGTTTTTATAATCTATAATCTGTGTATTCTTGTATTTTGTGTGAGTTTTTATTTGTCACGGTTTAGTTGCTGTGAGATACAGAAACTCTATTTTTTTTTGGTTGCTCTGGGATCTATATTCGAAAAGTGAAAAGAAAAATCTTATTTTGTCATTTTATTATGTCGACAGACATGATGTGTTTTTGCTGGGATTTAGAACCATGGAAGCTAGAAAAGTTCTGAAAAAGGTGGGGTATTCTCCATTGGAGATTGATCAATGCACGTTCTTTTTTCAAACATAAATCCACATTCGGCGCCATAAGCTACACAAGTAGAAATAAAATGCTTTTTGGACTTAGAAACTTTTCGTGTATTTGTAAGAGTTGATTGTCCGGCGCCATTTGTTCTTGAGACAAAATGTCAAATAAATATGTCTGTATTGGTTTGATTTACTCGATATATATAAATATATATATTTATATATATTGAGTAAATCAAAGCAAAAATGCAATACGCATAGTCTACTGGAAGGATCTGCTTGGAGCTGTAGGTTCAGTCAGAGACAGAGTCTGTCGACATCCAACTTGTGCACAGTATAAAATAAATAACCTGAAATTCGACAATTTGTGGAAAATATTGAGCAAAAACGACAATGGCAAAATTCCGATGGCGAAATTCCAGCTGTCGATATACCGTTTTATCATTTTTCACAGTTTACCACTGTATTTTACATGTTTTCCCTGGTAAAAACAGAGTAAAAATCGAATGATCTCGTGTCTAGTCTTCGGATACTATAACTAGTGAAAATGATGAAAAACTTGTTCGCACAGGTGAGTGACAGTAATGTTGCTAAGAACGCGTATCAAACATTCAGAAGGTATGCATTACCATTTTTTCCTTCGTTTTTCCCTTTTTTCGACACCACCCATTTTGTTCACTGCCATTTAGTGTGGTGCAGGGTGCCATTTAATTCCGTTTTCCGCTTTTTTAAATTCAAGATTGCCACTGTCGTTTTTACCGACATGTCATTAACGATGATTTCCTGGATAATATAAAAATGTTTAATTATGGATAGAAGATAGAGCGGATACTGTTACGGATTAGTTAGCCGATCAACTCAAAAAATACCTCATAGGTACGTTTTTTGCATTTGTTTTCTTTGCATTTGTTAATAAATTCTCATACCATTATCCACCTTCGGATTTCGCAATAAAGCGGTCAATATTTATCGCTTTATTGCGAAAAATGGAATGATAGATAAGAAGGAAAAAGACTTCATATTGAAGAACTGTGTCAAAAGTCTTATGGTCACATCCGTAGAAACGTTCTATGGATATGACCATAAGACTTTTCCATCTATACTTGAAGTATAGACAGAGATTCTAGGCAAAAATAGACGTATGGTCGGATCAATAGCAGTAATATTCCTAAGCAATAGAGTTCGGATAAAAATATTTGTTGATTTTTATGATTATAGTATTCATATATAGTAAGTAATATTAGATAATACTCATCACACGATAATAAAATTTTTGCTTTACATAGTCCAGAACACCATGATCAATTATCTACTAGAATAATATGCATTCAAAATCCATTCGAATTATGAATAACTACCCATTCGAACTTTTGGAAATAATCAGAAATTAATGTGAACTAATTTAATATGAGACTTTTTAAAATTAGTTCACATTAATTTCTAATTATTTCCAAAAGTTCCAATAGGATATGGTTAAATTAAACCATCTCAAAGTCTGTGATTATCGCCATTTTTACTCACATTATGGCGACATCAATTTGTTACAGTGCGATCAAGTTGACTTTTTCATTTAGCGTTTACCGCTGTTTTGTCTGATTATATCGGTAAAATATCTTAGAATAAGTATCAATTTCGAATGAAGTAGTTTTTTTTGGTAGACCTGTACGGATTATTTTTCTAGTTATCTCATTAGGTGAAGAATCGACCAATTACTACTCATTTGTATATGAGTCGATGTACTTTAACATTTTAGTATTCTCTGACTTTATTTATGTATTGATTTGTTTTATAATTGTCATTTAACAGGTGCATCATGCAGACAGCAGTTTCGCCAAACAACGCTCCTGGTTGAAAACTGCTGTAAAACGTAAAGTGAGTTTGTTAAATATTTTCTTCGAGCTAAAGATTATTTTTCTTTGTTTGTTATGATTTAGTTCGATTTAAACACACTACTGATTTTATCTATTTAACTTTTTGACATAGCTAACCGCGTCCAAAGGTAGAAATTGTCTGAAGTTTGATTTTCATTTTGCGTTGAATCATTAAAAAGATGGAAAATGCGTTAAACTGTTAAAAATCATTTTGCTTAAAAATCACATTAAAAACATTAATTATCCGAAGTGTGTGCGTAGTGATTAGAAATACTGAAGTTCTTCTGACGATGAAAAATCAACATATTTCATGTAGTGTAAACTTAGAAGAGGGAGAATGGATACGGAAACGTTTTTAATAATTGTGGTCTGATGGAAAGAAATGCAGAGATTTTGCTGTCTGAAGACGAATTGAATTTTTATTTTTTACTAGGTTTCTATTGTTGATTATTGTTTAGCATATGGAATGCTAATGAAAGTAAAACGTTATTATAGATGTTATTTTTATATTTCTTTAAGAATAGCTGTAAGGTTTCAAAAGTAGTAGAAGTTTTTAAAAAGTATTATACGTTCAAAGTTATTCTACTACTATCATAAATAAAATGAGATAAGCTCCTAATGATAACAAACCCTAATTCATTCTTGTAATTCAAGATCAAACAAATTCTTGATTAGTTTATTTTTTGAAAATATTGTTGTTCTTTGTGTTTATTTAATCGAATATTCAACGCTCGTCACTCTTTTTTTCTTCCTTATATAACCTCGTCTTAATAAGTTTATCATAGTCACCCATCTGATCTTTTACGAACGTATCTGTTGTCTGTTTGATTAATTGAATTTTGATAATTATTTGCTTTTTATTCTTCAATATACGTGAATAAATGTTTGGGAGTGATAAACTATTGTACATTGAGAATGTCAATCATTTTATTATCACACCGCAAACATCTTTTTTCTTCTCTCTAGCCAGTTTCATAACATTCATGTATCATAATTAACGTACTCTGTATGAACTTAAAGTGTCAAAGAAAATGACATTGATTAAAACATTACATCAATTACGAGGGATAAAAGTTTATTATCGAGGAATGACATTTCATTCATTTTTTTTCTCTTATATAATTAACGTCATCGTCTCAGCGGATTGTGATTTTTGCCATGGGAATAATATTTTCTACGTCAACAATCGTCACCTGTTGCCAGATAATTCACGGCAAAAGTATGTTTCT